AAGAGAAGGAGGACGGGGAGGAGGCGGCGAAGGGAGCGCGGCACCTCTCGGCGCCCCGTAACGAGTCGCATTGGTCATTCCACGAAACGCGCCTAAACATTCTCGCGCGCCGCTTTTTCTGTTGATTAACATAGGGCAATGTTGCAGCCCGGAACAATACCGGCGTCAAACAACGGGGCGCAATTAAAAGCGGTTATCGAAAATGTTATCGGACCTCGCGGATTGTGTTTTGCGGCGAACAAAAGTATTGGATTTTTTATAACGCGATCAAACGCTCGCAAACGATTACAATGCGATGGAGCGTGGGGGAGGAGGGCGCGGGGAGAGGTTAATAATAAAGCCCGCTGTTTTGTCGGTTTGCAACCGCGTCGCGCGACCTCCCCCGCCCTCTCCCACTCCCCCGCTCGCAACACGATCGATCCCGATCTGATAAATCATTCAGCCGAACGGAAAAAACAACGGCCGCCGCGCACCGTCATTGCCGTGGCGCTTTCCTCCGCCGATGTAACGGAGGGCTCTCTTTCTCTGTTTCGCCCGGCGCATCGACGCAACGCAGAATCAAAGCGGAGGTCCGTGCCGCTCCGCACCGCGCAAAATGGCTCCCTCCTTTTCAGGAATTATCGCGATGTAGGAAGTCTCTCTCTCGCGAGGGAGAGAGAGAGAGAGAGAGAAAGAGCGCGGCAGGGGGACGAGAGGAGGACAGCGAGAAGAAGAAAGAGGGAAGAGAGAGAGAGAGAAGGAAGGTGAGGCAAGCCGGGTTGCAGAGGCGCGCAACGGCAACGACGGCGGTGGCGGCGGCGGCGGCGGTGGCCGCTGTTGGCCGAAAGTTTAAAATAGAATATCTCGCGAGTAACTTTCATCGGTCGTCAAAAAATCGCGCAGTGTCGTATCTAGCGGGGGGCCATGCACTCGTGTCTGCTCGCCTCCCCCTCCTCCTCCGCCACCTCCTCCTCCTCCTCCTCCTGTTCCTCTTCCACCCACCGCGACGAGGACCGAGGAAAGACGGCGGGAAGAGAAACGCGAAGAGCAGCCCTCTCCATACCGTCGCTACAGTGCTACGGGATAGGCTGTGGCTCCTGACATGGAGACACACGGTTAACGCTCGCGCACACGCGCGCGGTACACACGTGCGACACACGCGTGTACTCGCGTGGTACGGAGCGCGGCGCGTCGGAGTCGCGGGCGGGCGTACGGAGAGCGAAAGAATTCAACCGCGGTAAATTCTCCGGCGAGTGCATCGGGATATTTTAGCTCCTTTCCAGATCCCGCGTGCGCGCACGCGCGCGCGCGACCGAGCGACACAGAGACCACGCGTAATCACTGACGTGGGTGGCCCGACCCCGCGAATATGGTCCGCGGGGAGTTTCCCCGATATTTCGTCCGTAATCGCTAATCGCGCCGAATTGCGCTGGACCTCCTCGAGGCGGGCTACCTTCCTGCTTACACACGCGAAATCCGCTGACCCGGTTCGCGCTTTTTGCACACCGTTGACTCTCCCGCGGGCGGCCTCGCCAAGGGAACGATAATCGTTTCGGCACAACGGGAAATAAATAGGAGCGACCGCACCCGGGGGGAAAAAATGTTCGCCACCGGAGCAAAATATTTAGCCGTCGCAACTAAATGTTAGCCGTCCATATTTTACAACTGAAATCCAGTCGCCATATGCAGGTTTCGGCTACGGCAGCTACACTTTTCTTTCCGATAAGGAAGATCGACAGACTCGAAAGATGAAATAAAAAAAGTATTTCTGATTATTTTCCGCATTCAAGCCCAGCTACCAAATTAAGTGCTCACACGATATACATATATTTTATAACTCGACTCTGTCTTATTCGACGACGACGACTGACTTAGTATCAGTCGAAAAGGACCCAAAAGATCGGGTCGAAATGTCGTATAGTAAACGAACTAAATAACTAGCTAGTTGGGTTGACTACAAGTTTCCCGTCTCAATGATTATTTTTTACTTTTCTTTCCGCGCGGAACATTTCAATCGCGTCCTAATGCGATCATATCTCTCTCTCTCTCTCTCTGCAAATGACCAACGCTCGTTCGAGGGAACGTCGAGCCGAAAGAGGGCTACACCCTCCGCGAGGCGTGTGCCGGAAAATGGGGTTGAAATTTTCGCGACAATTTCCTCGCTCCTTCCGGGACGGAGGCGGCGTCGCGCGAGTTTTACCGATTCGGAACTCGGCGCGCTCGGTTGATGCCCCGGTCTCCACGCCAGTGAATGACGTAGCCGTAGGTACCCCCTGTCCGGCGATCCGCTCTCGCCCGCGCTCTCGCGGGCCAGCTCGCGTTAGCCTGCCTTAGAGATCGCGCGAGTAGAGTACACACGCTCGCGTCTGTCGGCGGCGCATGCGCCGACACCGCCGCGGGCCGCGACTCGACTCGACTCGACTCGGCTCGGCTCCGCCGGACTCCGGCTCCGGCTGCTTCTCGGCTCTCCGCGGCTCTCGCCCTCCCCGCCAAGGTGCATGCATGCATTCTATGCGGCGTGCACCGCATTAGATGCATTTCTAAGTCGCGCCGCAATAAATCGCAGAAATATCGAAGTCGAGGCACCGCGAGTACGGTCCGCGCGCGTCCCCGTGAGATACTCGCGTGCTGTGCTGTCAACTGATACACCGTCGAGCGCGCGCGCGCCGCGCGATACCGATCGCCGAAAGGGAGAGACAGGCCCGGAGAGGGAGGCCCGGAGAGATAAGGAGGGAGAGGAGAGGAGAGGAAAAAAAAGGGAGCGCGAGGAGAGAGACAAGGGGGAGAGGGTGGAGCGCGGGAGGAGAGATCGCGCGGTGATAAAGATTGAGAGATATATAGGCGATTTCAGTGACGCGCTCCCGCGCAACAGGAGGAGCCCGCTTCTCTCTCTCGTACGCGTCGGGAGATCCCGCGATCCCGAAAGCTCGCCACCGGCCGCCCCGAGGACCGCAAGAAGGGACCCACCGTCGAAAAAAGGGACCACCGGCCGACTGGACCGCATCCGCTCCGGATACTCTTCTAACCAAGTCCTCCGTCTCTACTCCTTGGCAGTGGCAGTGCTGTGCGCCGCGTATGTGTGTGTATGTGTGAGTGCGTCTACGCGAATTATCATACCGGTCGTCACGCGCGTGCACGCTCGTATATACGCACGTATACGCACGTGCGAGCCGCCGGGAGTCGTTCGAGACACCCGGTAAGTCCCTCCTCTCCTCGCGAGGGCCCTTGGTGGGGATGCGATTCGCAGATTCAGTGAGAAAATCGAAATTTCGGCAAGGTTTCGGCGACCGGCGTTGTCGGGGAGATTGATTTCTTCCCCGGGGCGAGAAGTCGCCCATCCTCCGCGGGGGACATCGAGGGGGAGAGAGAGAGAGACGCGTTAATCATCGACCGCCGAGCCGCGAATCTCGAATTCGGATCGCCGGAATATATGCCGGGACTTCGATACGACGTGTGCAACGGGTGTACCGAGAGCTGACGCGCACCAGAACGAGACCGCACGGAGACGACTCGCATGCGCCGAGTCCTCCGATAATCCGCATCCGGTTGGCGTTGCGAATCGCCGACGCGCCGCAATTGCGCCGTCGCGCTTATCCAATTCTTCCAAGGCGGGAACGATGCGCGAATAAAGAATCGACGATCTCGCCGCGTCCAGAGCAAGAGCGGCGAACGATCTAACTGGATCTCTTTGTGGATCGATAGAGGGAGAAGCTGTTCCGCGACGAAGCAACGGATCCGCGCGGAGAGATCGACAGGCCCGGCGCGGAAAAAGATCGCGGGTGAGCCTCGGGGAGGCTCGCACGGTCGCTGTCGCACCACCCTGGTCTTCGTGTCGGCGCGAGCACTCGCGAAAAAATCGATCCAGAGGCGCGCGGCGGCTCTCGTCCACGGCGCGATCTCGCGGGACACGCGGGATCGATCGATCCGCGCCACGCGTCGATCGCGATTCGCGCGCGAATCCGCCGGCGAGGAACGCGCACGCGCGAGAGACCGGATCCGATCGATCGCGAGAGCGATCGCGATGCGCGCGATCGGCGCACGGTGAGACACGGAAATCGCAGCCGAGGAGGGAAAAGTGGGTGACGCGCGAAAAGCGGAGGCGCGGGACACGGCGTCGGATGAACTGGAAGGACAGGCTGCGCCCAGTGGAAGAGGATGCCGATGACGACGACGGGGACGGCGAAGGGCACGACGAGGATGACGATTACGGCGATTACGAGGGAGTCTTGAACGGTGGACCTGCGGAATTTCGCGCTACTGTTTCTGGCGAAGGTAGGAAAGGCGCGTTCGCCTGAATCGGGTGGCCGTACGGCGCTCTTTAAGGACCGTCTACAATAGCTGAAGTAAGCCCGGCGTAAGGAGTAAGAGTAAAGAAACGAATCATTCCCATTTCTTGCTCCATACTTCAGCTCCGACGCTTACACTCGGCGAATTACGAGCGCAGTTCGACCAGTGCTATATTTAAAAAAAAGTTACGCCTGTACTCTAGCTCTTACACTGATAAGTAAAGGTTGTGGTTTTCTCACTTCTTACCGCCTCCTTCCAATGTAGACGGTCCTTTATACAACTGCTATCGCACTACCGAAGGGGGACGCTCGCGAGAAGTGACGCGGAGACGCGGCGAGCGATCTGTGCGCAATATTTTCAATTTGAAAACATAAAACACAAAAATATTAATTTAACTGATAGAGATGTACATTCGATTGACGCGATGTAAGAGTCGGGCAGCTCAATTGTCGAATCAACGACGAAATAATTATTACAATTAATTACAATTACTTCGGTCACTTATACGATGACGTGTGTTAGATCAGCTGGAAGAGTCGTGTGACAGAGCACGATATAATGGAAATATATTCTACGTACGATTCACGCGCTCGAATAATATTCCGACCGACAACAAGCGCGCTATCCGCAGATCGAATCTGCGATTCGTAAAAAAAGTGACTCTACGACTCGCCGGCGTCTCGCTTCGTCGAGTTCTCTCATACTCGACCTTAACAAACATTAATATTCCTTGCTTGCAGAAACTCTACCGGGTACGCTTTAGACGCAAAAAAAACACACTACTAACAAAAGCGAGAGACGGCGGCAGACGGGCAAGTGACGTCGTGGAGGTTTTCGCGCCTCACGAAAATCTCACGTCGGCCCACGACCCCCGGTCTTTCGTCTCTCTCCGAAAATCCGCTTTGAATCCTACTGCCGTCGCTATATCGGGCTATCGTTGCTGCCGCTGATACTGCCTGCTGCTCTGCCGCCCCGGCTTCCTAGACGAACATGCCGAGAGTGTCGACGTAGCTACCTCGAAAACCGACGAGGTATCGAGGATCGACCGTAGACAATCCGTAGCAGGGTCGTGCGGAACGATCGATCGAATAGGTGCCAGAGGGTGGACGGGGACGGGGGACGAAGGTGGTGGTGTACGGGGAAATAGCAGGAGGGTTGGTGTGAGGTTTCGGGATACGGAGGTGGAGGAAGAGGGCTGGGTGGCGATGGTGGTGGTGATTAGTTGCAGTGTTTTGGAAAACAATGCGCAGAATTTCGACGGCGATAAATAATAAAGGATAAATAAAGTGTATCGGGGTACGGTGAAGTGAACGTGTGCCAATAAATAATCCGGCGGGATTATGCACTGTGCGCTGTGCGCCGAGAATAAAAGCGAGACGAGAGATCGGGGAAAAAAAATATCCCTGCGTTCCCCGGAAATATTATTCCTCGCGCGCGCAAGCGCGCGGGCGCGCGCTTCTTCTTTGTCAATCCGGGCTATTCATAGGGAAAAATTGCGGCGTAGCGAGCAAGTACCCAGCGTCAGTGAATAGCGAATTATTGGCTTGACTCAATAAATTGCTCCGTTCGTCGATCCCGCTCTTTCAGAAATGATATAACATTCCTTTCTACAGATGTAATTGCAACCACTTGGCATTGTATTCAGGAATATTAAAGTCGTTGTACCGAAAATCCCGCGCGATGGCTAACAGTACACGCTCCTCCGTCCGCGCCGCACGTTTCCCACACAGAATCCAGGAGAAAAACTCCTTGCGCCTCCTTTCCCGCTGAAATGCACAAATAAACGAGTTCGTCCCACAATAGTCTCGACGCGAATCAGCGGCATGAGAACGATGATGTTACAATTACAATAGCGTTTCCAGGAGATACATTCACCGACCCTTCTATCGCCCTTTGATTCGATCTTTAAACACAGCCCTTAAACAGGTTCAACCCATCACGAGATACGTCTGACGGGAGGGAAGGCGAAATATAACGCTCGCAACGGGAACGGAAGAGAGAAGGAGGCCCGCGAAAAAAATGAAAGAATTCTGGACACCGTGATACCCTCGCCCCTTCTCCGGTTCCCCCCCCCCTCCCTCCCGCCACCCATTGCGTGCTCGCGAGGACCCCGTGCGAGATGGGCCATCCCTCTCCCGTCCGAAGGGCCCTTCTGCCCCCCTTTTTTAAGGCGGCCAGCTGCGGGGTCAGTTTTCGACGGGCGCGCGGCGCATTAAGATGCTACGCACAAAATTTGTCATCATCGGCCGGCCATCGTCGCGGATTCCACGAAATTAGACGTTTTCGGCGAGCTCAACCCCCCGCGCGGACCCGATGGCGAGAGACGGACGCCGCGGGAAAGAAGGACGAACCGCGGCAAAAGCGGAAAAAGGAGAGCGGAGCCGGGCAACCTCGCAGCGTGCGGGCGCGAGCACCGGCCGGATCGCTTCTGCAGTGATGAACGCGTGATGGATATTAAATGGACGCACGGTACGCATCGACAGATTAATTCCATTTACGAGGTGCCGCTGCTTTTGTCCGGGGAGGTTTTAACAAATACATGAGTTATATCGCGCGACGTGCGCGCCCGACTAAAAATACTCACGAATCGCTTTTCGGCGCTTTGTCGCCGTTACGGAATCGCTCGCGGACGAATATCGGATCGATTGCTGCAGGCCACTGTTCGGCGTGCACGCGACTCTGCCCGCATCCGGCGACGCGAGATCGCTCCCGGTTCTTAACGCGCTCAGTCCACCCCCCCCCCCAGTTTCGCGCGAGTTTCGTCACTTTTATTTTATTAATTTCATTAAATTTTATTAATCCGCTCTTAAATAAATACAAAAAAAAACGAGGGGCACTCTCGCGTAACGCGAGGAGTGGCTCGGGACAAAATGTTCGCTCTCATAATTACGAGTGAAACTGTAGAACGTTCATCGGTGTGACGTTAACGCGCTCGCGAAATTCCCAATAATGATAAGTTTTAATTTCCCCATTTAAACAGCGGGTCTGATGTACCCGTTGATCACGTCGAAATATCTCTCTCGCTTTTGGCGAGGTTCGAAATATCGGTCTCTTTCTCTCCCTCCCGCCTCCCCCTCCCACCCTCCCACCGTCCCTCTCATCGTTTCAATCGAAATGATGGCCGAACGAATGTAACACACACGCATACACGTTAGCGTCAATCGCGACGAACCCGGGCCGCGCGCGTTTAGCTGTAACCCTTTACTCAAGTGCGATGTATCCTGATGCCCGCGTGATTTCGTGCTATCGGAGAGGAGTTTCGAATACTTCTCGGATTCTCTTTCGCTCCGTCCGCGCTCTCTCGCGTATTCGCGCGCTCTCTCGCCGCCGCTCGAATAATTAATCGCAAATAGTCTGTGCCCGATGGGAAGTGGACGCGAAGGAAGGACGTGGGTGGGGAGAGAAGGGAGGGTTTGTCGTGCTGCCGCCCTTCGGATCCTTTTCGAGCCGCCGCGGCACGGCCTGACGTTTAATTTCGCTAATTTCTTTTCTCCCGTTCGAATTACTCGCGGTACGACGCTTCGTCCCCGACGTAAGGGCCGGGCTCCCGCCGCCCCGAGTCACCCTTACATTTTCTTTCTTCTCTCCAAAAGCGCGAGGAGGATCCTCGGCACGAGGGTGCGAGGAGGGTGGAGAACGGGACCGGCCTGCCATGAGAATGAGGGCCGGAAAAATAATTACTCCTCGCGCACCGCGAGAGAAGAATACTCGGAGCCTGCTCCGAGATGATGAGCGGGGACAGAAAAAAAAGGGTCGAGCGATTCCCTTAAGCTCGTTCCCCGCCTCTGTCTTCCCTCGTAACGACCGCAATCTTAATAACGATATTTTTTTCCGCCGTGTCGTCTCCCGAGTACGTTGGAAACGACGTTTTCCGTCGTCAGTGCAGGGTGCGCTAAGAACCACCCTTCTAATCGCAGATTCTTTAGAAAACTTCAGGACAAAAATTCTAATACAAAAATGTCGAGGTTATAATAGCTTTTAAAATATTAAGCGAGTATAATTCACCAATGATAGGCCTGAG